CCTCACCTCACCCCCATACCTGCAGTGCACCACGATGGGCCCCGTGCCCGGAATGCTCCGCTGCGCCCGATTCACTTGGTCCAGAAAGCTGAGAACCCCTCCTGGCTCGTTGGGCACCCCGTGGTCGGGCCAGCTGAAGTACTGGTAGTGCCTCACCAGCCTGGGCCGCTCGTCCTGCAGGGGTGACACCACCACAACCTCCCGTGGGGATGTGGGGACCCTCCACCTTCCCCTGCTTCCAGCAGAGCAGCCCCGTCCGTGTTAGAACATCACTGGATGGGTGCAACCCAAAACTGGGTATTCTAGAGCCTTCCATGCCATCTCCCAGAAAATGTTCCCTCTGCCCAGAGCAGCCCTGACTCCTCAGGCTATAAACTGGGTGTTAAGAGGATGCTCCTGTCCTCACATCCATTGTGGAACTCCCCACCCTGAGGGAGGGACTGGCCATTCCTGCCTGAACTGGAGGATAGATAATCTTGGGGTCTTGGGACTTTTTTTAACCATTCGTGGGATCCAGAGAAAGACTGAGACCACCAATCTCAACCAGACTGAGACCACCACTCTTGACCAGACTGAGACCACCAGTTTTCAACCAGACTGAGACCACCACTCTCAACCAGACTGCAATCCCCACTCTTGACCAGACTGAGACCACCACTCTCAACCAGACTGAGACCACCACTCTCAACCAGAGTGAGACCACCACTCCTGACCAGACTGAGACCACCACTCTCACCAACAGGTTTTTTCCCCTCTCCTTTTCCTTCGGACTCAGGGTGCCCAATGAACACCACTCTGCTCATGCCCCAGGGTGCTGGGTTAGACATTTGGCTTTCATGGGTTAAAACCAATTGTTTGTCTGTATAATCGTACTTATTGTCTTATTTTATTAAATTCTTATTCTGACTTATAATCCCTCTTTTGAGTTGGGTTCATTTTCCCTGCCGTTTTTTACCTTTAAACCAGCACGAGCCCCGAAGCCCATCCCAAACCGGCGGCACCCAAAGCAGTGGGAGCATTAAGCAAGAAAACCCATTGAAGAGCAAATCCAGCACTCCCTCCCGGAGGGTTCCAGGGTTCCAAGGATTCCTTCCCATGCCCGGGGAGCAGCAGGACTCACCCTGTCCGGCCGCAGGATCTCCAGCTCCCGCAGCAAATAGCCCTGGGCCTCGCGCTCGCTCACGTGGCGCACGCAGATGCCCCCAAACTCCTTGGTGCTGCCCTTGTCGGGCCAGTAACGGAAGCATTTGTTCTGTAGGGACGGCAGAGAGGCCCTTTAGCCAAAATCTGGAGGGGTGGAGGGTGGGTTTGAGCCCCCCCTCCCAGGTCAGGGGGTGATGCTCCATCCGCCGGGGGTGCAGCTCCGGTGGGGAGGTATAAGGAGAGCCTTTGTGCACACGGTGTTAACTTGGGACTGGAAAGGGCCATTCCTGTGGGATCCCTGGGGGAATCCTCTGGGGAGACATTATAGCAGCCTCCCAGTGTGTAAAGGGGGCTTACAAGAGAGCTGGAGACTTTTTACAAGGAGTGATAGGATAAGGGGGAACAGCCTGAGGCTGAAGGAGGGCAGGGTTGGATGGGATATCGGGAAGAAATTCTTCCCTCTGAGGGTGGGGAGGCCCTGGCACAGGTTGCCCAGAGAAGCTGTGCCTGCCCCATCCCTGAAGTGTCCAAGGCCAGGTTGGAGCAACCTGGGCTAGTAGAAGGTGCCCCTGCCCATGGCAGGGGTGGAACTGGATGATCTGTAAGGTCCTTTCCAACCCAAACCATTCCATGATTCCAGATCTCTCCTCTTCACCAGCCCCAGCCTCAGGTAAGGCACTGCCTTACCAAAGTTATGGTCTTGACACACAGCCCCTGAGCTGCTGGTCTGGTCATTGCCTAATTCCTGAGCCAAACCTCCATCCCAAGGGGCTCCACAGCCTGCCTGTCCCTCCCTGTCCTCCAGCCCACCCCCCTGTGCTGTGTGACTTTGCCAGGCTGAGAGCAGAGCTATCTTTATCTCCTCCTTGCAGCTTCCCCCTCATTCCTCAGCCAAGCTGCCTGTGCCAATCCTAATTAGCTCCTGCTGCCAGGGAAGGCAGTTCTGCAAGGCTCTGCCTGGAATTTCACTGCATTCCCTGGCTCCTACTCCCTTTGGTGAAACACATTCAGGTGGTACACAAATGGGTGTATAATTTCTTTTTCCCCTCACATAGCTCAGAACACCCCTCACTCCACCTTCAGCTTGCTGTGACACACATGATGATCTCTCTCTCTCTCTCTGTCACCTGCAGTTCCCCAGAGCCTTGAAGCAAGTCCTGGGAGGGTCACCCTGCTCAAATCTATGGGGTTGGGGAGCCTGGGGAGCAGAGCAAGGTGTTATTTCTCCTCCATGAAGAGGAGCTAAAACAACACGACAAGACAGAGGAAAAACTAAATTAAACGAGAGCTAGACAGAGACAGCTTCACTGAACACCACTAGGACTGGCAGCAGGAATCTTTCGGGCTTGGGGACAGTGCCAGGAGACCCTCCAAGCGCTCACCCGGCCCCGTTCCACCTCCTTGGTGGTCATGACGATGACGTGGGTGTTCTCCTGGTACACCATGGCCCAGAAGTCGTTCACGGTGGTCTGCAGGCAGCCCTGGGTGGCTATATAGACCTTGCAGTGCTCCGAGCTCCTTCCATCTTCAGGGATGCTCTGAGGAACAAAGAGAAAGAAGGGGGGAGAAAAGCCAAGGATGCTGGAGTGAGGAACCGGGAATTGCTTCAGCAGCCAAGTCAGCACATCCAGCCACGCAGGATTCCCAAACCAGCTGATCTCCCTCAGGTTCTTCAGCCACTCTCATCACCAGCTTCACCAGAGCTGTCAGAAAACGCTCTGCCAGCCCCCAGGGACCTTCCTCCTGCTGTGCAGCAGAGCCTTCCCAGCAGGAACTGCTGAAATTTCAGGTGGATGTGGCTGGAATGAAGCCACTCCGACGGTTCCCCAAAGGATGGTGTGTAAGAGCCAGGGCAGCATTGCTGGAAATGCAGCTTCCAGCAGCTCTTGGCTGAGAGATACAATTTCAGAGATAATGCTCAATAGCTGAAAGGCAGGGTCAGGCCCCTGGGACCCCCTGAACAGGTAAGGAAAGGAGGGGATGGAGATAAACTCTTAGAGAGGGGCAGAGGGTAGAGTAGAATGATGAGATCCCTTGGCACGCAGCAGAAAAAAATCCAGTGTTTGGCCTGGATCCAGTGAAAGATACGGAGCCTGAGAGGTTATTCCCTCTAAACTCACACAGAAGCAGTGCTGGGCTGAGGGGCAGCCCCTCGTGGGGTCTCCCCTTCCCCAGGTACCTTGATGTAGTTGGCATTGATGTAGTCTGAGCCAGGAACACTCTCATCCACATCCCTGAGGGCCACCCGGGTGGTGTCAACTGCAGGAGGAGAGGCCAGGATGAGCAGGAGTCACCCAGGCAGGAGCAGGGAGGGGGTTTGGGTGGACATCAGTGATACTCAGTGGTGGAGACCGACCCCAGACCAAGTTTTCCACTATTTCCTTTGGAGGCTCAGAGAATCAGAGAATATCCCAAAGCTGGAAGGGACCCACAAGGATCATCCAAGTCCAACCCCTGGCCTTGCCCAGGACACCTCAACAATCCCACCCTGTCCCTCAGAGCATTGTCCAAACCCTCCTGGAGCTCTGGCAGCCTTGGTGTCGTGCCCACTGCCCTGGGGAGCCTGGTCAGTGCCCAACCACCCTCTGGGGGAAGAACCTTGTCCTGAGATCCAACCAAATCCTGCCCTGGCACAGCTCCATGTGACTCCTTTGGATTCAGAGGAGAACAATTTGCCAGTTTTCCACACAAAATGGCAGAACCAGGTTAAAAAGGGGATGGAGACCACCACAACCTGGAGCCCTGCACTAGGACACCTCCTTCCAACCCAGCTGTGATCAGAAAGCTCTGCAGGCTTCCCCAGCCCCAGAAAAGGCTGCAGGAACCGTGGTGGAAAACCCCAAACCCCTGTCCAGTGTCTCATTACAGGGAAGGATGTTCTTGTAGCGATTCTTGGCCTTGTTCTCCGGTCGCTGTCCCTCCTTCCTGGGGTACAGGAGCTTGCACTCCTGCTGCTGCAGCATCTGTGGGGACACAACAAAAGAACAGGCAGTGCTGGGCACACAAGGGGTGTCAGAGGCAAGGGAAAGGCTCTTTGGACTTCCTAATGCTGGGAAGAGCAGAGGGAGTGCTGGCAGGAAGGGAAAAGCAGCCAAGAAGCAGCTTGATAGAGAGAGTTAATGAGGGGAGAAGGCACAAATCCCTGCAGGGAACAACAGGGATAAGGAAACAGAAACTGCCTCGGACATGGGAAAAAGCAGCTTAAAAGAGGAGCAGGAATTAACTCAGTTGAACACAGAAAACAGGGAAAGGAGAAACAGGTCGTCAGTGCTGGAAAACCACGATGCTCCCAGAAAAACGGGATATTCTTCAGGCACAGGCATAAGCAGGACAGAGCAGGAGAGCATCCCATACCTCAAACTCTTCCCAGAATCCCTGCTTGGCCTTCTCACTGTGATCTGCCATTTTGTTGAGCTCCTTCACCCTGTTCTCGATGTTGGCTGCGTTGATGCGCGTGGCATTGAAGGGCTGGAAGGTGCAGACAGGACACAAATCACCCCCAGGAACAGGAAAAAACCCCCAGTTCCCAAATCCCTGGGGTACTGGCAAGAGCTGGGATCATTCCTGGTGCCAGGGACCTCTGGCAAGTGTGAGCCTGGACAAGCAGGATGAGCAGCCAGCGGGATGTTCCTGAGGGGAGCAGGAGTTCCCAAAGAGCAGGGGGCAGATCTGTGCTCTGCCCCAGGGGTTTGGGCAAGCCCACAGCCCATCAAGACATTGGTTTTACCTGCTTCAGGTGAACCACAGCTCCAGACTTCTCCACCATGGGGTTCTTCTTGTAGTGCTCCACCAGGTCTGTGAGCGTGTCGAACCTCTCTCCTCCCCCCACGTCGTACTTCCCATCCAGCTGCAAGGAGAGGACCCCAAATCCAGTGGGATTTGGGTGCACATTAGTGATACACGACCCCAGACCAAGTTTTCCACTATTTCCTTTGGAGGCTCATAGAATCAGAGAACATCCCAAAGCTGGAAAGGGCCCACAAGGATCATCCAGTCCAACCCCTGGCCTTGCCCAGGTCACCCCAACAATCCCACCCTGTCCCTCAGAGCGTTGTCTCGGCTCCCAGTGGGATCAGGGACAGGAACAGCCCCTTCCCCACCTGGTAGTGGATCATCACGTGGGTCACGTGTGGTTTTCTGTCCCCGCTCTCCAGCTTGTCCTCGTTGGTCAGCACCGACAGGACGAAGTCTCCCGGTTTGCTCTGGCTCTCCCTCACCAGGAAACTTCCCGGCTTCCCCTTCTCCGTCAGCAGCTTCTCCGCCTCCTTGCCCGTGAGGTGCCCGTGGTACCACCTGAGGAGCAGCAAAGGGGGGCAAGGTCACCTCAGAAATGTTCCTCAAAGGTTGAGGTGGTGGTGCTGATGGAAAACCCGTTCCCAGGTTCCCAATCCCGCTGGCACGGCACAGACCCGGGTTTATTTTGGGAACAGTCCCTGGTGACCCCCCTCCAGCAGCCTGCAGTGTCACATCAGCACCTTTCTCCAGGCTGGAGGTGCCAGGATGTTGGCTGGGTCCTCCAGACAGATGTGACATGGCAGTGCCACGTGGGGTGTGACAGGGCCTGGCATCGAGGGACAGGCTCTGAGACACAGTTTTCACAGTGCTTTCCTGAAGGTGGCTTTTTCTTTAGTTTTTAATAATTTAATGATTTAGCTTTTAATACTTTTAATAATTTAATAATTTAGTTTTTAATATTTTTAATAATTTAATAATATTTTAATTTTTTAAAATTGATTTCCCTTAATTTTTTTCATATGGAAGAAGAGGAACTCTCGGAGTCAGACGGTGCCAGACACAAGCACAGGGCTCAAGGCCAGGTTGGACAAGGGCTTGGAGGAACCTGGGCAAGTGGAAGGTGTGGGAAGGGCGTGGAATGGGATGGGATTTAAGGTCCCTCCCAACCCAAACCATTCTGGGATTCTGTGGACAACACTGAGCAGGAGCAAGACGCTTTGCCACAGTTTGGGAAGGGTTTTCTGAGGGTCTCCCTGGCTGTAATCACTGCTGCCACACCTGCCCAGCTCACTCACCTGGCTCAGGGCTGGCTGAGGGAGCACAGAAGTGTCCTGCACGCTCACCTGGAGTGGCCAAACTGGGTCCCCAGTGGGTTTTTTCCCAATCCAGCCCCACCTGCAGCCACATCTCTGGCCAGTGGCAATTACAACACGCAGAGGTTTGTGCTCAGCTCTTCCCAAACCTCACTGCACGAGCACAGCTTGCCCCACCTCCCTGTCTGGGCACATCTTGCCCCTGTTTCTCCACCTGATCTCTCAGAATCCTTTCTCCTGCTCTGCTCCCACTGCAGTCCCAGGGGATGCAGCCCTGCCACGGTGCCCTGAGGTTAAACACAATAATCTGGGAATTCCTCGTTGCTGCCTTCTCCAGCACTACCCTGGCAGCTCCATGCTCTGGCCAGTACCTCACCTGCCCTTCCCTGGGCAGCAGCACATCCCACCCACCCCCAGCAGCTCCCTGGGGCGGGAATGTCCCCAGCCCTCTGCTCCAGCCTTCCACAGGGACCAAGAGCAGCTCCTTCCATCCCCACACTCCATCAGCAGCTCTGGGCAGATGCCACAGGTCCCCTTGAAGGCAGCCAAGCTGCCAGGAATCCAGAGAGGCTCCAAACAACCTCCCAGCAATGGCATCATGTCATGTCTTGGCAAGGCTGGCCCCGAGGATGAGGTTTATGGAAGGGCAGGGAGTGATGCTGGGCCTTGGAGTCCCAACCCAGCATCCTGCAAGGGCAGCCAGGCCAAGCCTGGCTGGGAATTCCCTTTACTCCTTCCCTCAGGGTTGAGATCAGGACCATGGGCTGTACAAGGGCAGGATGACCCAGCTAAGCTGAAGAACCTCTGTGCCCTCTGCCAGCACTGCTGGTATCCAGCCCCAGGGCTTGGAAAACCACCCTGATGCACATCCTGCTGTATCCCAACACCACCCTCATTTCATCTGTTTAGAGGATTTGGACTCTTCTCCCTCCCTTCTCCTCGATGCCACCAGCTGTGAGGTCTGGAGGAGTCTTTATGGCCCTTCCCTGCCAAGCCAGCCTGGCCTTGGCAGGAGAAGAGGGGGAAAACCATCTGAGGGAAGGGGGTTTCCACTTTTCCAGCCTTTCTGCTCCCTTGGGGCTGCTTTTCACACCACAGGGAGCAGAGAAACCTCCCTGGCAGCGAGGAAGCACATGAGCTGGAGGGACTTCCCAGGGCCTGGGCTCTCACATGACCCACAGAGGGCAGAGCTCTGCTGCCTTTTGGGAACCGAGAGGAGCCCGTGCCAGCCTCCCCCTGCCCACCATGTGGCACTGGGGGAACTGAGGGGGAAGAAAAGGAAAAAAGGGGTCACTGGAACATCATCGTGGCTGGGGTTTCATCACTGAACCACCAGGCAAATACAGTCATTAATGACTTATGCTGGATTAGTCTTCTTAATCTCAGTTTAAGTTCTGGCTTCTTTAATTGTATTTAAGCCTTGTTTAATTTCAATTTTCTTTGCTATCCTTTTCCTCCCAAAGAGCTGCTGATCGTGGTTTTAACTTCCCAACTGTTTTTAAGAATAAGTAACCTACAGACTGAAAAAAAACAAGCTTTGGTGATAAGAGTCATGAGCTGAAACAACACCTTGGTTTGAAACACAAACAATTCTCCTTACAAGACATTGTCTTCCTTGCCCCAACATCCTCCCTTCAACACCCCCTCCTATTATCATTACAATAAAAAGTAAGAGTTGTTTCTGCTGTGACTTTTGGGATTAGTTAAAGGGATGTTTGCATGTCTTTAAGAAAAAAAAGGGGTTGAAAACACTTGAAATTAAGAAAAGGAAAAACAGCTCTTTCAGGGAACTAATCTTCTGTCAGATAAAGTGGTATCAATATATCCCCCCAGATGAAGGGGAGGAAAAAAAAGGTCATTAATCAGGTGGAAACAGCCTGAAGGAGCCCAAGGAGAGTCATCCATCCCTGCAAGGCAATCCTTGCTGGGATGAACAGGGTTTACAGGCTCAGATGGGGTGGGGGAAACACTTTCTTTGGGGGATTTCTTGCCCAGAAGGACAAGCCAATTGTAGGTGGTTTGGAAACAAAAACGTGGGACTGCTGGGATAGACTTGAAGGGCTCTTTGTGGATGGATTCACCCTGCTCATATTGGATGGGGCTCTGAGATGTCCCTGCCCCTAAATGCCATTTAAATGTCCCTTCCAACCCAAACTATTCCAGGATTCTATGTTGCCTAAAAGCTGGAGAAAGCTTTTCAGCACGAGCTGACACCGAGCAAAGAGCAGCCCCTGGACCTTGCCCGTGTCACCCACCAGCTTCTGGCTGTAGAATCCCAGAGTCACCGAGGTTGGAAAAGACCTCTCAGACCATCAGATGGAACCTTTGACCCCTCACCACCTCGTCAGTCAGAGCGTGGTGCTAAAAAAGTGCCACATCCAGTCCTTCTGTGGGAATGAAGCTGTTCATGTTCTTCAGAAGCGATTGTAAATATTTGGTCCTCTGAGAACGTGCTCTGGCAGATCCAGGCAAGGAAAACATGGGGCACCTGGAGACACGGGGCCATTTCCTGAGTGGGGTCCCACATTTCTCCCCCCAACCGCTTTCACTTCCAAACTGAGGTTTATTTTGGGCAAAAGCATGGGAATGTCTGTGGGAATGTCTGTGGGAACGTCTGCGTCCCAGAGGCGGGCACCAAAGCTGGATCCCACCCAGCACACCCTGTTTCAGGCTCCTTCCCAAACCCAGGCCTGGTGCAGCTCTCCAGGCTGAGCCACCTGGGAAGAAACCACCCCCAGCCCGGGGCAGGGCAGTGGGAGAGCCTGGTTTACCTCTCCGAGGTGGGGTCCTGGCAGTTCAGAGGGTACTTGAGCTCGATGACGTTGCTGTTCTTCTCCCTGAGCAGCCCCTGCTGCTCCGTGTAGTACTGCACCAGCTCTGCCAGGGTGGCAAACTTCTCCCCCCCATACAGGTCATAGTAATCCCCCGTGTTCTGGATCTTGATGTGGGTCACCTCGTCGTTCCTCCTGAGGGAGGAGGACAAAAAACACCGTCAGTGTGAGGGAATGGAAACCCAACTCCAGCCTGCAGGGCTCAGCTGCCTCCTGAGCACCAACCCACCCCTGGGAGCTGCACCACGAGCTCTCCCTGTGCTCAGGTACCCCGAGGAAAGGGATGGATGCTCCTTGGATGAGGTTCCTCTGTGCCTCACCAGCTGCCACCCAGAAAGCTTCACACAGAGGCTTCAGGGAGACTTTAGTGTTTTAGGGTCTCCTTAAAGCAGCCCTGACTTGCTAAAAAATACTTTATCAATGAGAACCAGCAGCTCCAGTTTGCTCTTGGATGCTCTGTCTGGCGTTGAGGTGATTTCCAGTTTGTGCCAATGCAGTGACAACAACTGAGTGTGAACAGGCAGAGACAGCATCCATGTATTCCCATCATCCCACATTAACAGCAGAATAAAACCAGGAGAACGCTGACAACTGGGCCTGAGGTGGGAAAAGCTGCATCTGGAGCCTGGGCAGTCACGCTGCACCTTGAGAACAAGGTCCTGGAGACAGAACCCGACCATCTGTAGCAGGGGAAGCTGCAGAGTGGCACTGCTGGGTGTTCACAGAGACATGGATAACTCTCCCTGACACATCTGCCCTGGCTGCCACCCCAAACCCAGCTGTTCTGCCGGCACAGACTTCAAAGTCTGGCAATATTTGCATGAGCAGAACTCACTGGATGGGAATGAGAACTGGCTGTGGGACTCCCAGCCCGGCCAGCACTGTGACAATGCCTCTTCTCCAAGAGGGGCTGGCACACGAAGTGCTCCTGCCATTCATGGCAGCAGCTGGAGCTGAAGAGCCCTTGTGCAGCCCAGAAAAATACAGTACACGCTGGTTTTTTCCCTGAGGCTCCAAACCCTCCCTTCCTTCCACAGCTCCAGCCCCAGCCCAGCCCACAAAGGCTCAGTTCACAGCCCCAGCCCCGAGGCCTGTGAGCCCTTCAGGGATGAAAAGCAGAGAGATAATCGAGGTCATTTATCCCTCCCGAGCCCTCAAGGTCACCATAAACACAAAGGACAATGATCAGTGCCCGTTTCCTTCCCATATCAAGGCTTGCAGCTCCAAGCTGGGCAGCAAAACTGGGCTGTGCAGCAGCAGCCCTGGACTCTCTGGCTGGGGAAATAAAGCACAAAAGAGGTGCCCAAAAAGTCCCTGTGCTGGAGGGCACAGCCACATCTGGCTAAGCCACACCGAGCTGGACAGGGAGGCAGCACTGATTAACAGCAGAGCCCCACTTTTTGGCAGCTTCAGTGAGAGCTGCCTCCATTCCGAGCTAAGCTTCTTTACACCACCAGCACAACTCCTCAGCTAGATATCCACGAGGGTTTCTTGATCCAAAATATTCCCACTTTTGAATCTGAGTCCACACTGCAGTGACCACCAGGCTGCTTTTGTTAAAGCAGAACACAGTCAGTAACAACAGGACTCACAAAAAACCCAAGCAGATCCATTATTTTTTTTGTCACTCGAGGCAAAAGAACCACTTTAAATGTCAGAAATAACTGCACCAGTTGCATCCTCAAAAGTCATTTTTGGTCATGTGCCTGTGTCAGACAGAGGCAGCCTAAAGCTTCCCAGCACTCACACAGATGACAACTTTGACAAGCTGCAAAAACCCACCCAAACCACCCCAAAACAGGAAGACTCTTTCCCAGGATTTAGAAACTTCAGTGAATGTTTGCTCTCAGTTAAATGAGAACTCGCTGCCCACCAACAACCCAACTGGCTTCAGACTGACAGAGAGGAGGATTAGATTGGATATCAGGAAGGAATTGTTGGCTGTGAGGGAGGGGAGGCCCTGGCACAGGTTGCCCAGAGAAGCTGTGGTTGCCCCTGGATCCCTGGAAGTGTCCAAGGCCAGGTTGGATGGGGCTTGGAGCAACCTGGGATAGTGGGAGGTGTCCCTGCCCATGGCAGGGGGTGGGACTGGATGAGCCTTAAAGGTCCTTTCCAACCCAAACCTTTCCATGATTCTACAAAATCCTCTGTAGTTGCAGGTCTTAACCTGTACCCAGAGTGTATCTGGACTTATTTTTTGGGAAGGAAAAGCCCAGTTACCTCCAGGAAGGAATGCTCAGTGTCAGTGGGGAAATCACTGTGGGAGGCTGAGCTCTGAGCAGAGTTTGTTTCCCAGTAGCTCCATCCTGCATCCACGAGCCAGGATAAGATCTGTTCCCACAAAACTGACAGGAGGGGGGGGTTAGATTGGATATTGGGAAGAAATCCTCCCCTGTCAGGGTGGGGAGGCCTATCCCTGGAAGTGTCCAAGGCCAGGCTGGACAGGGCTTGGAGCAACCTGGACTAGTGGGAAATGTCCCTGCCCATGGCAGGGGGTGGGACTGGATGAGCCTTAAAGGTCCTTTCCAACCCAAACCTTTCCATGATTCTACAAAATCCTCTGTAGTTGCAGGTCTTAACCTGTACCCAGAGTGTATCTGGACTTATTTTTTGGGAAGGAAAAGCCCAGTTACCTCCAGGAAGGAATGCTCAGTGTCAGTGGGGAAATCACTGCGGGAGACTGAGCTCTGAGCAGAGTTTGTTTCCCAGCAGCTCCATCCTGCATCCACGAGCCAGGATAAGATCTGTTCCCATAAAACATGACCCAATTACCAAATTAACAGGGTCTCTGACGGATGGTTCTCAACTGCCTTGGCAATCCCATTACCGTGGTGGCCACGGGCCAAGCCCCACTCAGGCAAACCCTCCACATGCCTTTTCCTTTGTTCAAGCTGTTCCCTGGACCTGGCCAGCTCTGCAAGAAGCTGTTCATGTTCTTCAGAAGTGATTTGGTAAATATTTGCTCCTCTGAGAACGTGCTCTGGCAGATCCAGGCAAGGAAAACACGAGGCACCTGGAGACACGGGGCCGTTTCCTGAGTGGGGTCCTACATTTCTCCCCCCAACCACTTTCACTTCCAAACTGAGGTTTATTTTGTGCAAAATCACTAGTAAATTTTGGGATGTTCCCTGTCAGGAGCAAAGCCAGGTCCCTGTAGGCAACGTGAGGTGACACAGAATACAAGACTGGAGACAATGTGCACATAAACACTCCTTGCACCCCCCCCAAAAATCCCCTGACCACCAAACCCTGCTCCCATCAGCCAGAAGAGCTTCCACACCTGGGCTGAGTATACATTTATATTTACTTATATTTTGTATAGTACACATTTATATTTATTTATATTTTATA